GCTGGGCCAAGGTGTGCCATGGTAGGATATAGCCCAAGCCACAATGACGAGACTAATTCAAAGTAGGCAAAAATAGACCGTTGACACCTTAGAGTACCTACTTATGTTGATGACTTGATGTGCTCTGCACGCATTAGCGAATGGGAGTAGTACAAACTTATAGGTACTATGTCTTGGTTCCGTAGAAGCATGTAGAATGAAATTATGACTCATCGTTGGGTTCCTTTTTAGATGCTTATCAAAATATTGAACATCCTTACAGGAAACCAACATTTTTGTATGGCAATTAAAGAGTAATATAATGGAGGATTAGGAAGACACGCATATTATTATTTGTTGCTATATTTGTACTTTTCAAGGGCAGTAGGTTGATACCTATTTGTCTCTGGATATCTACTGTTCGTTTAATACATGTTCAGTTTTTAAAAGCAGACTTAACTTTAGGATTGCTTCTATAGACCTATGTAAAGACTATAGAAAGATGTCACCTGAAATAAATGCATATTTATCAAATTATGGAACTGACCTGGCATCACTAGTGTCCAACGTGGGGTCACTCCTTTTGATCTGTCCGACGGAAGCCAGCACAGCCTTGTCACTCTCAACCCTTGCAGAAAGTGCAGCCACCAGAGTCTGACAAGATAGATAAGATAATGTAAGTCTTCATCAAATGTGTTTGTAAGAGACAACGATATCCAGCAATTTACTCTTTCGAACTTGGAACAAAAATAAGTAGATACCTGCCTCAAAAAATAGGCTGAAATGTGACTAGTGACCGATAGCGTACACTCAAAACCAGCTGGTAATAAGGATCAAAGTGTTTCTGAGTTTTCGCTATCGGTCGCTAGTAAAAATTCACCCAATATAAATCGATAACCAAAATATTTTATAAAAAATTGATCATCTGTCGTAGACCCATTGAACGGAAGAACGATTGAGAGGAGGTTACGTCTCGGTAAGCGTATCGTTAGGCGCCTTACGTATAGGCTAGAAGCAACTGGATGGTGAAAATGGGAAATCGTGTCCTATGACGTACCCTGAGGGATGCCTACGTCCGGCAGTGGATTTCAATAGACATGTATGGATGTATGAATACCTGCAGTTGCTTCAACGCTGGTTTGTCAATGATGGTGAGGAGGCTCTTGTTGTCTATGAGCCGTCGCTCCACGTCGCCGTGAGTGAGCGCCAGGAGCCGCTGGTGGGAGGACGAGGCTGGGTCCTGGTTTATGGATGTAATACCTGCAGTTGCTTCAAAGCTGGCTTGTCGATGATGGTGAGGAGGCTCTTGTTGTCGATGAGCCGTCGCTCCACGTCGCCGTGAGTGAGCGCCAGGAGCCGCTGGTGGGAGGACGAGGCTGGGTCCTGGTTTATATATCAATACCTGCAGTTGCTTCAAAGCTGGCTTGTCGATGATGGTGAGGAGGCTCTTGTTGTCGATGAGCCGTCGCTCCACGTCGCCGTGAGTGAGCGCCAGGAGCCGCTGGTGGGATGACGAGGCCGGGTCCTGGTTTATGGTCACTGGGGACTGGAACACAGGGAAATTGAGAAGGTAATTGTTTTTCAGGTGTCTATGGTATAGTACCAAGAATTTGTATCCTTGGGTGTTAAGTCGGTTAAACAATATTTAACTCTTTTTTAAGGGTGCCACACACCGGGCCCGTATGCGTGATGTGCATGTAATCACGGCGTGATCTCACGCGTAGAGATGACGTTGTATTGTATTGAATCGTAAAAGAGGCCGCACACGTATGCGTACGCGCGTAGCGCGATATGCGATGTCTCATACGGCCCCGTATGATACAACGTCATAGATACGGGCGTAATCATGCCGAGATTACATACACGTCACGCATACGGGCCCGGTGTTTGGCGCCCTTTATTCAAATTTCTGAACTGTCTAATATCACAGCTGGAAGGAAAACGTTTACAGTCAACTGCTGATTTTTACACAGATCAGAGGCAAAGGTCCTCGCTTAGAGAGTAGACATTGTATTGGTAAAGGGACTCACAAACTCCTCGATCTTGTGCAGTGCTTGCTTGTAGGTCTCCACGTGTCGTTGGAGCTCGTTCTTCATCGCCACGTGCAAGGAGATCAGCGCTCCTGAACCGTCGGCGGTCAGACCGTGGGTGCCCAGACCTGGAAAACATCGTATCATTGGCCAAGAGTTCATCTTAAGCATCAGGGTTCATCTGGCGGGTTCTACGTCGATTTTGTCTCGACGAGAAAAAGAAGATAAAGCAAAAGTCTGGAGTGCATTTATGGAATGGAAGATTAGTTACATGAAGTGAGGATAATTTAAATACCTATCTTAAAACATTTCCCGTTACTTAATGCGCAGGCTAGGATTGAACCGCGGTAGCCCAGTTGGTAGTAGTTTCGGCAGTACAAATGCCGAAGATCGCAGGTTCAAATCCTGCCTGCGGAGGATAATTTAATCGACCCTACTACTTATCTTTATCGATTATGTTCGATTATTAGAAAATCAACAAAAAGTTACATTCCAAAAGAGTGTCCAATCCAAAGCTACGATGATGCGTGTAAAAAAGAAAGCGCTATTTACCTACTTATTTAACACTTATAAAAGATTAAAGTAATCAAATGAGCATTTGTTACACAACGTGTGACGATGATTTTACAAAATGAACCGATACCGAATGCATGGTTATAAAAATAACCGGTTTTTCGAGCTGTAAGTACCTACTTATTGTATAACAGAAAGTATGTTAATTTTATACCTACTTAACGAAAAGTAACATTGCAATTTGAACTGTAAATATTAAATACCTGTGTGTAATAATAAAATAATTTGTAACAAACTGCCAAATTGAAATTCAATTTATTTTACTCGATGCAGTGGGATATTTCTTCAGCAAAAGGCAAAACTTTCTGTAACTAAAGTCCGCGCGCGATCAGATGGCATTCCAAAACGAAGATAATTATAACATGATATGTGAAAAAATATTCGATTATTTGAATTATTTTTTATTAAAAATGGTAGATTTTTTATAATCGATTATGGAATTTTAATTAAGTACCAAATTTCAGAATATAGATTTTTTAAATGTATGTTTTTTTGGATGAAATTTTTAGATATAGAGAATAGATTTATTTTTATTCGATTTTTGCTTGATTTGAAATAATCGATTACTGAAAAATTGATTTTTTGTTTGGTACTAAAGTCGCATCTTTGCTGCTTGTTATCAGATCGCGGAGAACAGCATATCTGCATCAACTTGCCTTGCGATATTTTCTTTCCTTACATTAAACAAAATTATTTGTATTTAGGGTACGTTTCTTGAAAACAAATGCCTTTTTACAAACATCCAATGGTTGGTATAAGATTAGAAGGGGCAGCCATGCGTGAACACAAAAACATAAATGTTTTGAATCGGAATCACTGATCTCCCGGAAACAATATTTTAATACCGACAGAGCAACAAATTTTCTGATTAACTTTTCCTAAGGAATAGAAACGAAGTTAAACACTTTATAACTATTGTTTATTAAGTACAGACGAAGTAGCCACGAATGAAATGCTGGGCTCGATTCTACAGGTCACTTAATTGTATGGTTTGAATTCCCATTGTAATGTGGACTAATGTTCAAAAGTATTAAAAAAACAACTAGGTACTACTAGATGTGGCTTAAATCATCGGTACGAGTAGAGCATGAAGAGGTTGAAAAATTCTTTACGTTCGGTTAAGTGCCGGTAGATCAAATTGGCAGAGAAGTGCGACGGTACCCGACGGTCCTGGATTCAAGTCCCTGCCGACCCTAACAAATTTGTCAATTTTATCATTTTCAAAAGTTTTGTTTTTTAGAAGCCCATTTCCAGTATTTAATTTCGTAAAATTTTAGCCAATTTATAGCTCGCTTAGCTTTGGCGTGAAAAGCCGATTAAGTTAAGTTAAATAGCACTTTAAGGGGCGAGTGTGGGCGATCTAACTGAGTGTCATAAATGCGATTAGCTCTCTAATAGGGTCTAATACAGTCTAATTGAGATGAGCGGGAGGGAGATACTTCGTTAGCGCCTAGCCGCTAGCGTTTCATTCAATTTAGGAACAATTTTAACTATTGCAAAAGTCCAAACGTTGCGTGTGCGAAAGGCCATGAAGAAAACTTGTCTTGCCGTCGGTCTGCACTTACACTGCGCTAGCTAATTCCCTTCAATCAGGGGTTTCATTTAAAGTTAGAGAGGCCATATTTTTGAAAACCTGCTAAAACTTTTCACCGCAGGCAGGATTTGAACCTGCGACCTTCTCGGCATCAGTATGAATTAGTCGCTGGGAATTAGTTGCAGAACTATCCCGGTAGATGGAGCCCATCCAAGCAATAGTGGACAAGATATACTTGCTTAATTTCGCGGGCTCGATTAGAACCGCGGTAGCCCAGTTGGTTAGGGCGTCGGCAGCACTGAATGTATTTATGTAATTTTGTTTACTAAGACTAGGCAGATTCCAAAACCTTTGACCATAATGTCAATCTGTCACCCGCAAATATAGCGAGTATAGTTTATATAATTTTATTTTGTCATAAATTACATAACGAGAAAATTGAAAAATTCTCTAGCGACCGCCGGGACTTGAACCCGGGACTGTGGATCACCGTTCCACCGCTCTACCGACTGAGCTTCGGGCGCCTAGCGATCCCTGGTGAATTCTTCAACCTCTTGATGCTCGTCTCGAAGCGACTATTAAGCGACATCTAGTAGTACACATAAACTCCTGATTAAATTAAGGAATCTTGAGGAATTTCAACGGTTTTACTATGTAATTACAGCCAATTTTTCAGTCGTCTTTTTTTTCAATACCTTCAACAGTTCTATTGGAAAAGTGGTTATTTTGGATTTATTGCATAAATATTTTAAATTTATACCCACGCCGATTACGCCGCCGCCGCCGGTCTTTTTTGGACCAGACGCCGCCGCCGATCATTTCATCATCGGCGCACATGTCTAGTGGACAAGATATACTTGCTTAATTTCACGGGCTCGATTAGAACCGCGGTAGCCCAGTTGGTTAGGGCATCGGCAGTACTGATGCCGAGAAGGTCGCAGGTTCAAATCCTGCCTGCGGTGAAAATTTTGCAGGTTTTTCAAAAATTGTTTACCTAACACGAGAAGTGATTTAAAATTTGGTATTCAGGCCATATTTTGTACACTGTCCTCCCCTGCACTGTCTTCTCCTGGTCTCCACCAAGTCTCTAGACGCTGAGTTGTAGCTGGCCATCACCGACTCCTGTCTCAAAGTCCTAGTCTTCATTTAGACCCCTTGTTTTCGTCCCAATAAGCTAACTGTCTCTCTCTTACCTTACACAGCAGCATCCAACTGTCTTCTTCTGGTATCCACGACTTCTCTCGACGCTGGGTTGTAGCTGGCCAGTGCTGATGCGAGTCTCGAAGTTCTGGCCTTCAGGTTGGCGCCTTGCTCCCCACCAAGTAGATAAATCATCAGTTGTCTCTCTCTTACCTTGCACAGCAGCATCCAACTGTCTTCTTCTTGTATCCACGACTTCTCTCGACGCAGGGTTGTAGCTGGCCAGTGCCGAAGCGAGCCTCGAAGTCCTGGCCTTCAGATTGGCGCCCTGCTCCCCACCAAGTAGACCAACCAGCTGTTGTCTCTCTCTTACCTTGCACAGCAGCATTTAACTGTCTTCTTCTGGTATCGACGACTTCTCTCGACGCAGGGTTGTAGCTGGCCAGTGCAGAAGCCAGCCTCGAAGTCTTGGCTTACTAGTTGACTCCCTGCTTCCAGTCAAGTAGACCGATCAGCATTCGTCTTTCTCTTACCTTGCACAGCAGCATTTAACTGTCTTCTTCTGGTATCCACGACTTCTCTCGACGCAGGATTATAGCTGGCCAGTGCCGAAGCCAGCCTCGAGGTTCTGGCCTTCAGGTTGGCGCCCTGCTCCCCGCCTAATAAACCAACCATCAGTTGTCTCGCTCTTATCTTGCACAGCAGCATCCAGCTGTCTTCTTCTGGTATCCACAACCTCTCTTGACGCAGGGTTGTAGCTAGCCAGTGCCGAAGCCAGTCTCGAAGTCCTAGCCTTCAGACTTGCGCCTTGCTCTCATTCTAGTAAACCAACTTTCTCCCTCTTACCTTGCAAGCAGCATCCAACTGTCTTCTTCTGGTATCCACGACTACTCTCGACGCCGGGTTGTAGCTGGCCAGTGCTGGATTAAGCCTCAAAGTCCTGACTTACAGATTGACCCCTTGCTTTCATCCCAGAAACTATCTCTCTCATACCTTGCACAGCAGCATCCAGCTGTCTTCTTCTGGTATCCACAACTTCCCTCGACGCAGGGTTGTAGCTGGCCAGTGCTGAAGCCAGCCTCGAAGTCCTGGCCTTCAGGTTCGCTTCCTGTTCCCTACAAGTAGACTAACCATGAGTTGTCTCTCTCTTACCTTGCACAGCAGCATCTAGCTGTCTTCTTCTGGTATCCACGACTTCTCTTGAAGCCGGATTGTAGCTGGCCAGCGCCGAAGCCAGCCTCGAAGTCCTGGCCTTCAGGTTGGCTCCCTGCTCTCCGCCCAGGAGACCGACCAGGCGCCATGCTATCTGCTCGCATTGCACGTCAGGACGGGGAAGCACCTCCAGGGATATTAGTCTGTGGGAAAAAATAGAGCAAAATCAAAATTTGTCAACTACTAAAGTATGGCCGCTCGAATAAGTCATGTGACAGCTGTCCATACTCAGATAAATAGACCTTATGTCATTGCCTTAACATGATTTTTACAGTTGTCAAATATGGCTGACTCGAGCGGGCGTATTTTACATCTACTCTACAGAGCACATTGATGTGACAAGTAGTAGGTTTTCGAAGTGTTGGGTCATTCATGTCATTAAAAAGAACGCTTTTGGAATGGGCAATTCGGTTCGCCAGGTCAATTTTTTATGCCTTATTTTGATATTATAAGAAACTATTTCTAAGAAACTATTTTCGATATTTTGAAAATATATTATTTTTTTCTATTTTAAATATTTTTTTAAAGTTTTGAGGTTTTACTCAATCACTAGGCTGCATATTCACAATATCTTTGCCTACACCTGGCCTTTAAAAATAATAATAATGGCAATCTATGGATAATCAAAGCGTCAAACAATTGTCAAGTGTACAGATAAGTAGAGATGTAACCTCACAACCCGTAACGGCTTATCGATATCGATATTTAGCGCTGGCGTGAGTAAATATTCAGTTAAATTTTATTAAGCTTATTTTAAGAGCTTGTTATTACCTACGACTCGTGTTTAACATTACCATATTTGCAAAATATTGGCATTAAGACTTTAAAAGCTACTAAGTGAGTAGGTTTGCCGACTGCCTGTGTCAGAGGCTTCTACTCTAATAGTAATCAAATTAAAATACACTACGTCTGACAAAATTTTTGAGAGTTATTCAGAATACTAAGTATGGCCATAGTGACAGTTTGTCAATCTTCCACCAAAAAATTGCAATACACACCAACACTCAAAAGTAGCTGCTTACGACACCCACGGGAAAGATATGGGGTAAGCTGGCACCACACGACAGCATCGTTCCTTGTGAATAAACAACACTTTGCACTGCGCTCACCGATCCGCCTGCCAGACTAGGTGATTATGGGAAATAATACACCCAATATGTAAAGGCCAATACTTGCTGTGGGCCTATGGCCAGCAGTGGACTTTGTAGCTGTTATAGGTTATGGTTCTATACATACTTATAAAAGTGATATGCTTTGAAAGGGAACGATATCCAATAATAATATACAAGAAATATTTTTAGCATTTATTCTTATTTCATCACTTATGAAGTAATTCAAGCAGACAAACGCAAACGCATACGCAGGAGACACGTCCTTCCTTAGCAAAAAAAGCAAATTTGCACTGTTCCATAATGTTATTCACAGCAGTACTGCAAAAAATACTAGATATACTCCGTGTTTATTTGTGCACACCATTTTTCCAACAGCCATTCCAAAATGGGTACCAATAATATGTACGGATAATCACAAGGTATAGAACAGCGCTTACCTCCCCCCATCTTCAACAAATAGAACACACATAGTTAGATTTTATTTTTAGTTTAAAATATTGATTACGTCACGAATCAAAGCAAAGCAAAAAAAATGGTTTGATCTAAGCTACACATAGGATCTTAAACAAATATCGATAAGTAATGAGCAGCACTATTGTTTACTTCGGCATCACAATTTGGTACCGACTTTGTTTGAAATTATACTATTAATATAGCCGAATACTAATATTTTTCTATAAAATGCATTATTCTGCGATAAAATACACTATTTTTGTACTTACGAGGTTTGAAAAATAGCGAATTTTGCCTTAGAAATCATATTTGTGGCCGACCACGTAAATGTCAGTGTTTTCACTATTTAACACAGCTACAACGCCAAATCTATTACTTTTCGAGCGGCAGGAGGCCGCACTAGACAGTGTTCACAAATTTTTCCCGTAAAAGTCGTTGTAAAATGCGTATTTTTCTTTAAAATATAAATTTTTATATAAACACAAAACAACAACAAACGATTGACGGATTGACGTATAATGCAAGAAAGACAATGTCAAATTACCATAATACAAACTCGTTGTTTTTTTTTCTCAACTAAGGCACAACTAAGGCGAAAGGTTTATTCAATACTAGCTGCCCGTCAGCGGTTTCACCCGCTGCAACCTATTATTCCGCGGGAAAAGAGCATTATTCGCCAAGAGATGTCGCTGTTAGTTTTCGGCGAAAACGTTTAAAACGCGAATCGGCTCAGTCACGCCACCTATTTCAAAAATATTGGAAAATGCGTGATCCCGTGGGAATGAGACATTTTTCCGTAGTAAAAAGTATCCTTTGTGTTATTCCAGATGCCCTTTTATATTTCTGCAAAGTTTCATGTTAATCTAATCAGCCGTTTTTGCGTGATGTCGTAACAAACACACACACAAACATCCGCTTTTATAATATTAGTAGGATAAACCTTAAGGTTCTATTTCAGAAGGTTAAATAGAGGTCATCGAAGGCAAAATATTTTATTAAAATTTCTTAATTAAACTTAAAATAATCACCAATCTAATACGTAGATATTGTAGATAAAGTGTAAATCTCGAAACGGTTTTGAGATTTTAGTTGAAAATGACCTTGTTAGCATACCGAATTCTCTAGCCAACCTTCGAGTGTAAGTACGGAGATGGCGCTGAGAAAAACTTAAAGAGGTTCCTTACAAAAGACAATTATATTTAGTGTAGGTAGTATCAGTAAACTTAAATGTTTATCAACTTATGAAAACGCCATATGTTTTGAAAATATGTGAGAACTGTAAACAGAAAAATCCCCGTTGGTGTAAATCAAATAGGTATTTTTATGAGTTGTGTATGATATATCATAATCACGTCTTCTATTCACGTGAGAACTAAAATGCTCTATAAATTGAATGATCAATGATACCCATGATAATACCCCACGGAAATATTTCAACCATCCGAAGATCACTTCTAAGAAAACTTCTAGAAAGAAAAGAAATGCGGAAAAACATATGAGATTGTTAACTGAATACCAAACGAGGACCTATTGTCGTGATTGTATACATACATACATCATGCCTATATCCCTTGCGGGGTAGGCAGAGCGTAAATGGCTACAAAAAATTTGAAAGTCAAAGAAAAGCAAAGAGTTTGACAGTCATTCAAAGAAGGCTGTGTAATGTGTATCACCATAGTGACAGATTATCAGCCTTTTGCCTTTGCAATACATGAACTCTCAAATCCCTTAGTCCCTTCTTACGACACCCGCGGAAAATATATGGAGTGCTGCTATTCTAAGAAGGCATCACACGGCATAGAAAGAAATGCGGAAAAATACATGAGATCGTTAACTAAATACCACCTGAAGTCCCCCTATTGTCGTGATTCTATCAGACACTGTCAGACACAATTCTAATAATACTAATTATCTAGTCCCAGTGTACAACAATGTGTAACAGTACATCAGCGAGCCCGATTCAATTGAGCCTATTCTCACAACACTAACCGAGATAGTGGACTCGATTCGCACGTACACATTCCTCAATTAATTTTATATACATC